GATGGGGAGCGACTGCCAGTGTATGTGAGGGGTCTTACTGGGCTGATGAAATATTCTCAAACTGGACTAGTGATGATTGCACAACTTGGTAAATTTCATAAAGTGCTTGGTAAATTTACCAAAGTGCTCGGATTATAGGTGCCACCAAGCCTGGCCAAGAAACTATCTTATAGGATTATCTGTGAGGATCAAGTAGGCTAATGTGTGTACATGTCACATGCTAAAAACAGAACCTGACACGTGCTAATACCTTAGCGGTATTCAGTATGTGTGTTATTTATTATATTTTAAGCCAAATGATCTCTCTAAAATGAAAATATGAGCATAAAACTCAGTATTTTCTGTACATTTGAAAATGTTCTTGGCTTGGCACCTGTGGCTCAACTGGCTAAGGCGCCAGCCATGTACACCTAAGGTGGCGGGTTCGAATCCCGCGCCCGCCCACCAAACAACAATGAAGGCTTGAACCCAAAAAATAGCTGGGCGTTGTGGTGAGCGCCTGTGGTCCCAGCTACTTGGGAGATGGAGGCAGGAAACTCGCTTGAGCCCAGGAGTTGGAGGTTGCTGTGAGCTATAAAGCCACGGCACTCTACCCAGGGGGACAGCTTGAGGCTCTGTCTCAAAAAAAAAAAAAAAGAAAAAAGAAAATGTTCTTATAAATGCTAGGGGCTGGAAGACAATTCTCCACAGTTTCTCAGGCTAAAGCTCAAGGTGCTCCATAATCTGGGCCCTGCTGGCTTCTCTAACCCTACCTTGGCCCTGCTTTCTTGGCCAAGCTGGCATACCTGCGGTCTTGTAAGTCCCATGAATCTTCTCCATCCTCTTCCTAGCACTATGCTAACAACTCAGGAGGGCTGGCAGGCTGGGCTGGGGCAGCATCCTCAGAAGCCCATGGCAAAGGAGAGAAGCCTCTGCCATTGCACCTTGAAACAAGAGTACCCCACATTAAGGCAGCTTTTCATAAGAGCCATCTGTTTGAGAGGACCATGCTCATTTTTGAGATTATATGCTTCCAGATTTTTGTAGTGTTTTGGTGTTAGACTGTTAACAAAGTGATGCTGATGGTAGCAGTTGGGGGGTTTTGACTGCTCGTCTTACCACCGCCCTGTTAGTCAGCAATTCCTCTCTCCTCGGTCTTTCTCAGATCAGTAAAAACTAACATCCTCCACCAGAAACCTGCGGTCATCCTTCACCTCCTCGCAAATCTATCAGTTATGCTTCCAAAATATATCTCAGTTTTATCCACACCTCTCCAGTGCCACCCTCCCATTCTAGCCCAAGTTGCCATGTTCTCACATCTGGTGATTCCAGTAACCTTCTCACTGGTCCCTCACTGTCATTTCTGCCCACCCCCATCTGTCCTCTGCACAGAGGCCTATGAGAGTCTCTAGAAACATGAGTCAGATAGTTTCAGACCCCCTGTGTAAAACTGTGCAGTGGTTTCTTACAGCATTGAGAATAAAATTCTAGCTCTTACCCTGGTCCATCCTCCTCTCTCTCCAGCTTCTAGACCATGCTGTCCATCTTGCAGTTCCTAGTTTACTCCCAGATCTCTGCATGTATTGTTCTCTTGGTCCTATGTGTTTCATAGATTCTTCTCATGCAGGGGTCCCCTCTTAAAATGGGTCTTCTTGGCTCTCCCCTCAAAGTTCTATCATATCACTCAGGAGTCAAGGGTGGGAAGAGAATGCAGCAAATCTCCTCATGTTTCTGTGCCTCTGAAGATGCTGGAGGCCTCAGGGGCCAAGCCTGGCTTGGATTTGCTCCTCCCAGCACTGGTGCCTTCTCTACCTCCATGATGAGCTCATGTCTACTAAGCTGGAGATAACTCATGCTCACAGGGGGCCATTTTAACAGTTACAAATTAGCATAGCAGCACAGTCGCCATAGCAACAGCCAACCTGGGGCTGTGAAGCAGCCAGCCCTGCTCACTGTTGGCCCCATTGGACATTGGCTGCGGATGAAGAATCAGCTAGGAGTGGAGCTTGTTCTCCTGTCCCTCTCTCAACCTTTGCTAGTCTTCTGTGGCCACTGGAAAAGTTTCCATGAGGATTAATTTCCAGGGAAGAGGGAAAGTTCCCCCCAAAATGCAGCTGCTTCTCTGCTTATAATCTTTCTACAGCTTCTCAACTCAGTAGGAATAACACCCAAAGAATTCTCCAAGACAGTGTCATCCTAGGGGGCTTGGTTTAGGCAACAGCTTGGTGGTCACAAGTAAACCATATGGTAGTGAAGCACCAGGGTGAGTCAGCAGCCTCCCTGGGCCAAGCACCACATACCAAATGAGGAGCAGGGCACCTTGTGGGACGGGGGGGGGCTGAGATAAGAACACATGGGTCCAGCCTTAATCATAATCCAGCGAGAGTCTCCATAGCCCAGTTATAGAGCTGAGACAAGCAAGGGCAAAAGAAGTAGCCTTCAGAAGTCCCTGGAATTTCTGGCTTTTGGAAAGACCTTATAAAAGTTATTTGTTTTTTCACTATCTACCCTCCCCACTTCCTTTTTCCATTTTCTCTGGTAACTGAATTCTTCCTTCCTAAAGAAAAATCCACTGGATATGGTTCAGGAGAAGTCACTCTGCTCTTCTATCTTCTCCCTACTTCCTGCTGTGGGAGCCAGCACAGATGAGAAAACCAAGGCTCAAAGAAGTTAAGGATTTTTGAAATCACTTTTCCAGATCTTAAACCTCAAGCTTAGATGCAAGTACTCTGAGGCTCAAAGGAAAAGATGTATATAAAATTATCTATTATATTAAAAAAGGTAATTTAAAAAAATATCCTATGCCAGTGATCATGATAAACGATTTTCTTCCCCCCCCTCCTTTTTTTTGAGACAGAGGCTCACTATGTCTCCCTCAGTAAAGTGTCATGGCGTCACAGCTCACAGCTCACAGCAACCTCAAACTCTTGGGCTTAAGCGATTCTCTTGCCTCAGCCTCCCAAGTAGCTACAGCACTCAGCTATTTTTAGAGACAGAGTCTCACTCTTAAAGCTGGTCTTAAACGTATGAGCTCAGGGCAATCCATCTGCCTTGGCCTCCCAGAGTGCTAGGATTACAAGCATGAACCATCACACCTGGCCCTATGATAACGGTATTTCATGCCTTTTCTTGTTTAATTGTCACAACAACTCTACGAACAGATACAAAAATTGAAGCTAAGAGAAGTTAAGTGACTTGGCCAAGGAGACATAGCTGGAATTATAAAACGGGTTGCTTTAAATCGTAGTAAACTACACTGCCACCCTGTATAGATATAAGTTATCATCATCATCATCATCACAGAGAAGAAAGGGCATTCACCATCAGGGAAATGCAAATCAAAATGCCAATGAGATACCACTTTCCAGCCACTAGTTGGCTATAATCAAAGACAGACAATAATAAGTGTTGGTGAGGATGTGGAGAAACTGGAGCCCTCACACACTGCTGGGGGGGGGGGATATAAAAAGCTCCTATGAAAAGGAGCTGGACAGTTCCTCCAAAGGTGACACAAAGTACCACACAACCCAACATTTTCACTCCCAGGTATATATCCAAGAGCGATGAGGACCTATCTTCACACAAAAACTTGTACACAAATGCTCATGGCAGCGTTATTCATGATAACCAAGAGAGAGAGAGAAGGCAAATGTCCATCAACATATGAATGATAAATAAAAGTGGTTTATCCAGACAATGAAATATGGATATTGAAAACATGCTAAGTGGAAGTAGCCGGTCACAAAGGACACATTGTGTGATTCCTTTACATGAAATGTCCAGAATGGGCAAATCCACAGAGACAGAAAGTAGATTAGGGGTGCCTGGAGCTGAGAGGTCATGGAGGGAAGAGTTGAGAATGATTGCTTAAAGGGTGTGGGGTTTCTTTCTTTCTTTTTTTTTTGAGGCAGTCTCATTATGTTACCCTTAGTAGAGTGCTATGACATCACAGCTCACAGCAACCTCAAACTCTGGGGCTTAAGTGATTCTCTTGCCTCAGCCTCCCAAGTAGCTGGGACTACAGGCACTTGCCACAATGTTTGGCTATTTTTACATTGCAGTTGTCATTGTTGTTTAGCATCCCTGGGCTGGGTTCGAACCCGCCAGCCTCAGTGTATGAGGCCGGTGCTCTAACCACTGAGCTATAGGCACTGAGCCTGTGGGGTTTCATTTTGCGCCAATGAAAGTGTTCTAAAATTGACTGTGGTGATGCTAAAAAACTCTGCACAACTCTGTGAATATGCTAAAAAGCCTTTGAATTGTACACTTTAGGCTCGGCGCCTGTGGCTCAAGCGGCTAAGGCACCAGCCACATATACCTAAGGTGGCGGGTTCGAATCCCCAGCCCGGGCCCACCAAACAATAATCATGGCTGCAACCAAAAAATGGCCAGGCGTTGTGGCGGGCGCCTGTAGTCCCAGCTACTTGGGAGGCTGAGGCAGGAGACTCGCTTGAGCCCAGGAGTTGGAGGTTGCTGTGAGCGTGATGCCATGGTACTCTACCCAGGGGGATAGCTTGAAGCTCCGTCTCAAAAAAAAAAAAAAAGAATTGTACACTTTAAATGGGTGAGCTGTATTCCATATGAATTATATCTAAAAAAATTACTTATTTTTAAAACTAGGAGGCCTTCCTGACATTGGTTAGGACCTAAAGTTACATTTGCAAGCCTGGTCCTATCCCTTCCTCTCAGCCTGATGACTCAGACATCAGCATTATCACCAGGTGTGCCCTAGGAATCCGTGCCTCCCCCTGGGAATCTAGGGTGTTGCCCTGCGTTTTTCCTCCTTCCCCAGGCATGCCCTATCCTGCTCACCCTGGCAAGCATGGGGTAGAGCTGAAATGGATTCTTTCTGCCTCAGCCTGATGCGGCTTCCTCCTGCCTGCTGCTTCCTGACACTTGCCCAGCTTGCTGTGAGAGCATGTCTCAGATTTGAAAACCACGTGGGATTCAGGATGTGGACCTTGGGGTTTTGTGCTGCCAGCCACTACAGAGATTTGGGGGCCTCCCCACACCCCACTTACCTAACATAGGAAAAGACGATCACGTGGAAGACCCACTTAATGGTGCCGTAATTCATGCTCTGGATCCGGGTGACTTTGTTTGTCTCATACTGGAACACATCACTGCAGCTGCAACAGGCCACCATGGTGAGAGGTGCACTCCCTGCAGGACCAGGTCTAGACCAGGGCTCAACTTCTCAAAACAGGGTCACAGCAAGCCCCCTCATTAACAGCAAAATGAAATGCACTGATTCTTAGCAGGAGCCTTTAGCGTTTAGTTCCTCCAATGGCTGCAGGAGGGGGCGGGCCCTGGCAGTTGCCCCAGATGTGTCGAGATAAACAAGAGCCAAGTTCTACAGGCCTGGCTGGCAGAGGACCCCGCCCCAGCTGGCCTCCCCCAGATGTCTACACAAAGCTGGTGTTCAGAGGATGGGCATTTTTAGAATTCTCCCTTTCCTGTTTTTCCTTTCACTTTCTTAGGCTGATTTTGGTCAAGAGAAAGGGGCAGCCTTTCAAATGTCACGAGACCCAGAGCTTCCATTGTGCCCCCCAAAAGAGCCTAAATCTTTCCATTGCCTCAAGTCCCACTTAGAGATTGATTCATTCATTTCTATGACCCTTTATTAGCCCAGATGTATAGAAGCACTGAGTCCTTCCCCCACCCTTTACAATACCCTGATCTGCAGATGGTGGAGGAAATCAGATTTGCTGGGGAGTGGTGATGATGGAGGACTATATCTCTAAGCTGGACTTCCCTGCTTGACCCTCTAGATTTACTATCCACCCTGCTCTTGTCCCAGGAGGTGGACCCATGACCTAGTCCTATCAGCCCAAGATCACCAGGAACAAAGTTGCAGTCTAACAAAAGTTAGGTGCATTGACTAATGAGGGACATTACCAAACAAAGGGAGGGATAGAGTTATTACAGCATTCTGAGGAATGTGAAGTTTAAATGAAATCATGTTTTGATGGGCTCAGAGCAAAGCAGGATTGTACAAAGTGGTCAACTTCAAGTCGGCATTGCAACGGGGACTCAGGGCCTTGTGTCCTTGGAAGTGACAGAACTAAGATAAATGTTGAATGTTGTGTCCAGAAACTCTTTTTCTGAAACTCTTCACATGGGTTGCAAAATTGAGGCGGTTTCTTTGCATCAGGATGACTTAGATCCTCCCAGGCAAATGTGGAATATTTCATTCTTAGCTGTGTAATTTCAAATTGGCAAAGTTTCTGAAGACCCTTTGTCAGCAAAAAAGCAGTAGTCACTCAAAGATGAGGGAGTCTTATCACTTTACAGATACAGAGAAAGATCATTGCCTGTTATATTTACAGCTCACTTTTCTATTCCTGTTATTCCAGCCTGCTAAGTGGCCAGGCAGATTTTTACTTTTGCAGTCTGAGCTAGACGTTTTTACTTTTGCATCCATTTGAGCTACTTGAGGGCCTCCTTCCCCATTGCCTTCCAGGTTAGGAAACTGGAGAGAAGTGAACATGGATATGATTCCCCTGGTCCCTCCCTTTTTAGCTGCTTATTGTGGAGGCTTCTGAGCACTACTTCCTCCTTCAGGCCTGGAGGAGAGGAGGTAAGAGCTCCCCACTGTTGCCAGTCTCAGGCAGCTCACTATGTTGTGCCCAGGAGTTCCACAAAGACCACACTGCTAAACAAGCTGAATTCACATCAGAGTCCTTTATTGAGGAGCTGGCAGGCGACTGCCTCACACCCTACACAGGGGTTCAGAGAGCAGCTCCAAGTGCTTAAGGGGTTGGGTTTTTAAGGCTTGGTCTGCATCTTGGTTGGCAGCAGTCTGCCCGGGTGCATCCAGGAAAGTTAGCAAGCATTGTACAGAAGCAGAATTTTGTGGTTAGTTAGTCATACATCTTAGTTTCAGTACTTTCTCCACCTGGTATTTCTTTTCTTTTCTTTTCTTTTTTTCTTTTTTTTTTTTTTTGCAGTTTTTGGCCAGGGTTTACGTCTCTGGCATATGGGCCAGCGCTCTACTCCTTTGAGCCACAGGTGCCGCCCTCCACCTGGTATTTCTTAAAGGTCAGTCCGGGCACAAATGGTACTTCCTGGTCCATTTCTCAGGGGAGTTAGTCAAGCAAGAAGTCAGTGAGTGCTTTCCCATTTATCTTGGAGTGGACCAGACTTAACTCCATTTTGTTGAGGGCTTGCACAGAGATTTACTAGGAGTTAACTAATATTTTTCTACCTTAGTCTAGGCCTAATAACTATCTCTTACTAGTTTTTCTTACCTCTGTCTACATCTTTGTAAATGGTCCCATCATTAGCTACCCTGCTTGAGTATGCCATTGCTTTCCTCCTAGGACTGAGTGATACAACAATCTTCATCTGTAAACAGAAGAGATTCACAAGTAAAGCCTGATAGTTAGGACATCAGCTCCAGGGGACAAGTGGTCTGGCTTCCCATCCAGGCTTCACATCTTACCAGCTCTGCGACCTTGGACAGCTCTGTTCATGTCATTTATTTATTCATTCATTCCTAAGAGCACTAAGAACTAGTGAATATAGCAATAAACAGGCAGACAAATTAAACACCTATCCACTAAAAATGGATTAACAAAAAGAGGTCTGTCTATACAATGGAATATTCTTCATCAATAAAAAGGGATGAAGCTGGCTCAGCACCTGTAGCTCAGTGGTTTGAGAACTAGCCACATACACCAGGGCTGGTGGCCTGGGCTTGCTAAAGAACAACGCCAACTACAACAAAAATAAATAAATAAATAGATGGGCATTGTGGTGGGCGCCTGTAGTCCCAGCTACTTGCAAGCCTGAGGCAAGAGAATCATTCCAAGCCCAAGAGTTCTAGGTTGTTGTGACCTGTAACGCTATAGCACTCTACCAAGGGTGACATAGACTCTGTCTCAAAAAAAAAATAAATAAATAAAAGGGGATGAAGCACTGATAGATGCTACAACATCATGAGCCTTGAAGACATTATGCTAAGTGAAAAAAGCCAGTCACAAAAGGACACATCTGTTATAATTCCATTTATAGGAAAAGTCCAGAATAGATGAATCACTTCAAGATTGCCCTTGCTACCAGCCAGAGACATCTATTTCCTGTCTTTCTGCTGAAACCTTACCCTGATGGCCTCATGTCCCTCCTTGTCTACTTCTTCAGCCCTGTCCACCACTACCACTCCATGGATATCATTCTCAATAAGGTTAAATGATTTCTCAGTTGCCAGATTTCGTTGACATATTTTATTCCTTATTACCTCTTGGACATATTGAATATCATTGACTACTTTTTACTTCGTGGAGAAATTTCTTTCCTTGATGTCCATGATTCTCCTCTTCTCCTGGTTTCCCACTGTTACCTCTATGACTGTTTGTCTTATCTTTCTATGGCTCTTTTCTCTCTTCTCCCCATAAATAGCAGTTCCTGAAAATTCTCTCTCAGCACTTTTTATGTTTCTATTAGGTTAGGGCATGTTTTGCTACAATAACAAAGCACTCTCAAACCCTCAAGGCTTGAAAGAAGGAAAATTTATTTCTTATCTACACTCCATATCCATCCCAGATCACCCAGAAGGCCCTCTTCTCTGTAGTCACTCAGAGATCAAAGCTAATGGAACAGCCGCTGTCTTGAGAGATCAGTGAGAATTCTGGATGGTCTCACAGCATCTGTTAAATGCTCTCATCTAGAAATGCACTCACTTCTGCTTGCTACTTACTGGTCCAAACTAGTCACTTGGTCTTATTCAACCGCTAGAAACCAAGAAATGCAATCCTTTGACCTTATATCCCCTGTCAGGGGGCTATGAATACCCTAGCCCTGTTTCGGGCTTTTCCTAGGCACCACTAGCAAGTGAAACTGAAAGCACTTTGACTCCACTGGCACAAAACCACACACAAAGCAAGCAAGTGCAAGTTAACAGCACAGTTTCTATTAATTTTTAAGCAGATAGTAGATTCCAAAAAGAGGAATGAGTCTCTCCCTCACGAGTGAGAGAGGCTGCCTTTACAAACTTTTCCCCTTGTATTTATTCTCTAATTCCTAGCTTTGCTCCATCTACTTCTAAAGTTTATGCATTTCTTAACTCATGATTATGCATTAGCCATGTTATATAACTTCTATCCCATAATTGTTCCCACAATTCCATTTTTAATTATATGGAGGGGTGATAGAAAATATAAATGATATTACAATGAAGGACTTTACATCAAAAGTTCAACTTTAGGGTGCCCTTCTTAGGACTGTGGATGGTTGTTATCATAGACCACAGGTGCTCTTATGCTTTGACACTTAGCTCTTATGGTCTAGTGTACACCCATCTTGGGAGACCTATTGTACAGTAAGAGCTCTTTTAGCTATACTGAAACATCTTGGGTTAGGCAGTTACCTCGCTATCAGGAACTGTCTTTGTTTCTATTTTATTTTCCTTCTTTCACCCTGTTCCGTCTATCCCTAACATCCCCCATGTATCCAGAAACAGAAGGAACAGTAATATTTGGTGAATAGCACTAATGACTATTGCATCTTCCTGGGAAGTTTCCTCCACACACATTGTTCTAAGAATAACCAAATGCTGGCTCGGCGCCTGTGGCTCAAGTGGCTAAGGCACCAGCCACATACACCTAAGGTGGCGGGTTCGAATCCCCAGCCCGGGCCCGCCAAACAACAATCATGGCTGCAACCAAAAAATGGCCAGGCGTTGTGGGGTGCCTGTAGTCCCAGCTACTTGGGAGGCTGAGGCAGGAGACTCGCTTGAGCCCAGGAGTTGGAGGTTGCTGTGAGCGTGATGCCATGGCACTCTACCCAGGGGGATAGCTTGAGGCTCCGTCTCAAAAAAAAAAAAAAGAATAACCAAATGCTAAAAGAAAAGGGGGTGGGAGGAAGCAGCATATATGTATATTATATGTTTAATTATGCATGGAATATAGCTGGAAATACAGACCCAGTACAAAATGAAAATGTATTCAAAACTTAAGAATTTAGGCCAGGCGCATGGCGCATGCCTATAATCCTAGCACTCTGGGAGGCCAAGGTGAGTGGATCACCTGAGCTCAGGAGTTCAAGAACAGTCTCAGCAAGAGTGAGACCTGTTTCTAAAAATATAGTCAGGCATTGTGGTGGATGCTTGTAGTCCCAGCTACTCAGGAGGCTAAGGCAAGAGGATCGCTTGAACCAAGGAGTTGGAGGTTGCTGTGATCTATGATGCCATGGCACTCTACCAGGGGCAACAAACTGAGATTCTCTCAAAAAAAAAAAAAAAATTAAGAATTTCAAGATAGGTGAGAGTGGTGGCTCACGCCTGTAAACCC